CATCGAGGTGTCCTGACGGCGGCGGCCCGGACCCACCGGGAATGTGTCGCGTAGGATGCGGAGAAAGGTAAATGGTTTCGCTGCGATTTTTATCGAGGAGTAAATATTTCGGTTTTTTATTTATTTGAGCTGTTCATTCTGGCAATGATTTGGCGACAGCGCGGGGCGGTCCCCAGCTCTGTGTTGACTGGTGTTTAAACGGAAACACACGTTTCTAAGCAATATGAGGCCGCCTCCAGGCGCGAGCTGGGGTGCCAGGCCTGGGGCCCCTCCCTGCTTTCCCCGACCCCCAGGAAACACTGCTGACCCTTGCAAAGAGGCTGCCGAGCTTTCGTGCACTTTTTACATAAGATAAAGGGGAAAAAAGAAAAAAAAAAAATTTTGCCACAAACTGAGCCGCAGAGCCTCCCTTCTCTCCCCGTCCGCCTCCTCTCCCCTCTCCCTTCTGCTGGGCGCCTTTCTTGGGCTCTGCACCAAAGCCATAGGTTGGGGGGGGGGAGGTGGCCCCAGGAGCTGGTGTGCCCCCAAGGCGGCGCTGCCAGCCCCCAGCCACTCAAGGCCCCAAACCTTGGTGGCATGCAGGGCACCCTCACCGCCCATCACCCCAGAGCCGTTCCCTGGTGGGTGTCAACAGGCATCGGACCCAAGGTGGCCAGGGTTTCCAGAGGGTCTGGGGAGTGTCTTTCAGGTGGACCCCCAGGGCAGGGATGGGGGTGAAAATGCGCCCCGCCCCCGCTGAAGCCTGGATTCCCTCTCCTCTCCTGTCTCCTCGGCTGGTGCTCTGCAGAGCCCCCTGCTGGGTGGGCAGAAGTGTACCAGGAGGACAGGGCCTGGTGTCTGGGGGTATCAGCCGGAGTAGCCCGGCTCGCCAGTGCTGGCTCCACTGGGCAGAGGGGAGCTCTGGGCCCAGTATGAGGAGGAGGATGCAGGATGTATGGTCTTGTCCTGGGCTCTTTCCCCCATCCAGCCCCAGGCCCCGGGAAGGTCTTCGAATTCAGGCGCATATCTGCAGGTTGCTGGGGACTCCGTGAGCAGGTGCTCCCTTGCAAACGGAGGGGAGCCCCTGCTGAACCCTCATGCTTCCAGGGGGTGGGGTCTTCAGCTTTGGGAGAGCCATCTCAAGGCAGAGAAAGACCCCTGACTTGAGTAGACGCTGGAGTTGTCCCCCTTGTCTGCCCCTGTACACCATTTTCCCAGGGTGCTCTCCCAGCATCTTCAGGGTGACCTGCCAAGCCCCACCCCCAGGTGGCTTTTTGGCTCAGGTGGGCCAGCCTGGGGGTGAGGGCAGGAGAAAAGCCCCAACTCCCCCTGTCCCACACCCTCTTGGGTCATTGGAACGCAAGGCTTTTGGGGGGTAGGAGTAAATGTCCCCTGTCTCTCTGGTGTCCCAGAGTCTAGAAGTGGGGGCCAGTTAGCTTGCGCAGAGGCCAGGGGCTTGGCAGGACGGGTGGCCCAGGCAGAACTGGTCCTGGAGCAGGGCGGGGAGGCTCCTGCCCACCCCACAGGTTGCCCCTGGCTGTCCCTTCCATTTACTGTTTTTTTGACACAGCCCCGTGTCCTTGTCATCCCTCCTCTAAGCAAAAGTCCTGTTCCTGTTCCCTCTGTCCCCACCACCCCTGTTCCCCAAGAAAATAAGCTATCATTGTTGTATTTGCAATCTATGGATTAGCGATTTAAGTATTTATTATTATTGGTTAATTATTATTATTATTAATTATGTAAATTTGCCACCTGTCTGTCGCCGTTGGGTTTCTGAGTTGACCCTGGGTGTGGAGGACACACTGGCTCCCTCCCTCCTCGCCCCCACCCGTGCTGTCCGGGAGACAGTGGCCTGGGGCCACTGGTTGGGCCCCAGGACTCTGGAGGCGGGTCCCATGGCCCCTCCTCCCACCCTCCGTCCCTCCGTCCCTCCCTCTCCTTGTCTCCAGGGCTGCCAGCATTGCTCGCTGGTGGCTCTGTCCTGGGGCATGGGGGGCCTTTCGGCCTCGCTCGCGGGGCACTGGTCACCCCAAAGTGAGTGGCTGGGATGGGGAGAAGGGCCTGTCCTGGTCGCGGCCTCCTCCCGTGTGCTGCTAGAGCGGGCAAGAGCCCCTCCCTGGCCGCTTTCTACCCTGTCCAGCTATGGAGGGGGCTGGGCCGCGGAGCCCTCCTTAGG